TTGACTAATACCACAGGGGTTCCCATAACTCTGCCCAGGTTCAGTGATTTTCTAGGACAGCTCATAAGATTGAACTTATAGTCATACACTGAGCCATGACTTATAACTATGAAAGGGTACAAAGCAAAATCAACAAAGGGAAAATGCATGTGGGGTGAAATCCAGAGGAAACTAAGAGAAAATTTCCAACCTTCCAAAAGTTTACCCTCATGGCGTTGTACAGGATGCACTTAATTCCGCAGCAATAAATTGTGACAATGTGAACTGCGATATCTACCAGGCAAACTCACTGGAGGCTCAATGACTAAAGTTTTCATTGGGGTTTGGTCATGTAGGTACCTATTGTCAAGAATATACCAAATTCTAAACTCCTCTAGGAAAGCAGATATTAAGTATAAGTCACATAGTTTGCCTAGCTTAGCACAGTGAACCATTGTTAACAATTAAGATGGTTCTCTTCTCCTGAATTCCAAGCTCTCAGATGCCAGCTAAGGACCAAACTGACAGCAGGTCTTTTTTATTTTAATTAAGAATTTCAGGCTGCTCTGTAATATTTTTCTGCATAGAAAGTCATACTTCATATATATATATAAAACCTTTGAGGCCCAGTGCACAAAATTCTTGCATGGGGGTGTGTGTCCCTCAGCCCAGCTTGCATCCTCTCCAATCTGGGACCCCTCAAGGGATGTCTGACTGCTCGTTTAGGCCCAATTCTACTGGACATCTCTCTCACAACCCAGGACTGTGGGCTACAAACAGCTTGCCTGCCTGCCTTCCTGATTGTCCCTAACCACTGCCCATAGGTCCTGAGAGACCGGGATGAGGTGGAATGCCTGTGTCATTGCCATATTGATGACGCAGGCATCCCACCCACCATCCCAGTCACACAGCTTCTGTGTATGCAAATTAACCACCGTCTTTGTTGGGTTAATTTGCATATTATTCCTGTTTGGCTGTGGGCATAGTTGGAGGTACATTCAATTTACATGTTTGTCTATTATTAGGTAAGATATATAATGCACGCATGCACACGTGCACACACACACATACTCTGAGTGGCCAGATTATTATAATCTCTGAACACATAATAATCTGGCCACTCAGTATATATATTAGAAACCTGGTGCATGAACTCATGCATGGGTGGGATCTGGGGTCTGGCCAGCCTGGCCAGGGTGTGGTAACATGAGTGGTTGGATGCCCTGTCTGCTGGTCAAACTCCTGGTTGAAGGAACAATTTGCATATTAGCCTTTTATTATATAGGATATATATATATATATATTTTATTATATAGGAGATATATATATATGTTATATTTTTAATTCCTTTACTGTAAGATCACTGAGGACTTGGAACATTTTTTTCATTACTCCATTAATTCCATTATGGAATAAGATTCCTGCATGATGGGAGACATTCTACAAATATTGGTGATTAGAAGGTCTGCTGATTCAAGAAGGAACAGCAAAAACAAACAAACAAACAAAAAACAGGTAGGGAAGAAAACTCAACAGTGTGGAGGGCATTTCTGCTATCCCATTCTGAATGGAGTCCCCTATATTATCTACAACTTTCCCATATCAAAGAATAGGGGATGGAACAAACCTAATAAAAGATAAGAGATAACATATGAATGATATTGCTACTGAACTCAGATAATTTATTACATATATATTTATATATAATATTTTTATATATGTACTTTTTAAGAAAGCAGGACTCTGCAATTTTGTTCAATAAAAATCTATCAGATCACTGACATTTTAACTCTGTCAAGTCTCAATTTTTCTTATTCTACTCAGAACACAATACTTATAACCCATGTCTCAAATTTACTTGCTTACAAAAAGACTTATTGAGCACTTACTGTTACTAAAATATAAATATTAAGAGCCCCATAATAAGAATAGCTAATACACAGAGCCAGTGTTCTAAGCACCTCTTCAAGAGATTGATACTGTTGTATTATATATTCATCTTTTACAGATAATATTACTAAGGAAGTTCATCCTCCTGAGCAGTTACTCTGGAAATTATGTTAATTACTCTGTTAAAATGATTATTACATCCTTGAAAGGCTCACGATCTTTTATTTCACATAAAAATTATTTTTTATGTAAAATATTATTTTGACAAAATTAGGGACAGAACATTTTTGTTCCGTGTTAATGTTTTCTTCTCCTCCACTTTAAAATAAAAGGACTACTATATTGCTAGATTTTTTCCCATTTCATACTCAATAAGTTATACGGTTTTTTTGAACAATTCATCACTTAGTGATCCATAAAAAAGTAGTGAGGACTCAACAATGTATTTAGCATTTGTGACTGTCATTCTGAACACATAAAAAAGGAAAGTTATATTGGTTTAAAGAAAAAAAAAATTCACATTGAAATCTTTTTATCCCTACAGGTGTGAGGTAGTTGGTTTTTGCTATTATACAATTAGAGTGACTGTTTAAGAAGAAAGATTTTCATTTCTCTCTGAATAGCATGTATTTTTATCATTAATTGCCTCCCACACAATGACACAATTAATAGATAGCAGAGTCTGGAAGAACTCACAGAAAGAAAAACCATAGTCCTGACCTTTTTTTTTTTTTTTTTTTTTTTTTTTTTACTTCTTATAGAACAAATTAAAAGTCTAAAATGTTATAAACAAGCTATACTATGGCAAACTCAAACTGCAGTTTGGAAATGCAAATATAATTTCACCCCTGGATAAGGAAACAATAATTGGTATGAGGAAGGAGTTGTCAGAACTGTTTTCATGTTGCTAGGTCAACATTAACATTCAAGTTCAGAAGATGGCAATGTTCTGTAGCTGTGGGCTAGGCTCTTCATGGTGTGACTAACAACAAACATTTCAAAGGTATTGTTTTAATTTACAAGCACCTCAAACCTCCTTCAGGTGACTGATCTCATTCTCAAGTCACACTGGAGGCAACTGTGTCTTAGGAAGGTTAAGTGACGGTCTCAGGGTTACATCAGTCAAAAGACCAAGTAAGCAACAACATGCCTTCAGATCCTCTCCCTCCAGAGTTAGTACCATTAACCACTGATCCACACTGCCTCTCAAAGATCTAAACAGGTACCTACATTTGAGTGTAACAGACATGCTCAGTACCATGTAGTGAGTTGCAAGTCTCTATGTCTCTCTCTCTAATTTTATAAAATATATTTTATTGATTTTATTTTTACAGAGATGAAGGGAGAAGGATAAAAAGTTAGAAACATCTATGGGAGAGAGAAACATTGATCAGCTGCTTCCTGCACACTCCTTACTGGGAATGTGCCCACAACCAAGGTACATGTCCTTGACTGGAATCGAACCTGGGATCCTTCAGACTGCAGGCAGATGCTTTATCCACTGAGCCGATCTGGTAAGGGCTTTCTATGTGTCTCTTATACATCTCTTACAAGAAGAACCATTGACTGCTTTTGTTCTGGGATATCTTTTTAAGGATGTTTGTATAGAGACTAGCATTGCAGCATCCAAATAATAACCCTATATAATAAAAGGGTAATATGCAAATTGACTGAACAGCAGAAAGACTGGTTGCTATGATGCACACTGACCACCAGGGGGCAGATGTTCAATGCAGGAGCTGCCTTCTGATGTCAGTGGGCTTCCACAGGGGGAGCACTGCTCAGCCAGAAGCTGGGCTGGTGGCTGGCAAGCATAACGGCCCGCTTCCAAGGCAGAGCTAAGATTGTCTGACGGGCTTCGGCCTACTAACCGCCCAAGGGCTCTTGGACTGCTAAAGGGTGCAGGACCTGCCCCCCCCACCCCGGCCTGCCAGAGTGCACAAATGTCATGCACTGGGCCTCTAGTAGAGATATAATCTCCCTGTCGAGCAATGGACAGGCATGCTTACTGCCTATGAAAAATATTAGGGTTTCCTACACTCAGGATTCTGCACGTCCTCGGCGTATTTCCCCCCACCCTCCAATCATCTCAATGTGTTTGCAGGTGTCACCTGACTATCTTGGCATTGTCTCAGAAGAACTGATCTTGGGAAACCAGTTCAAGAAAATAGCTGATAGTCTGGCTATTTTTCAATGGGCAATAAAGTCCTTTTTGCCAAACCCACCCAGAATTTTTTTTTAAAATGTCCTTAAACTGGAAGTAGATCTAAGTTTCATGATACCTAAAGTTTATTACTATTTTGAGGTCCCTCTTGAAGGAAAACATAAAAATTACATATACAAAATTAAGTTTAAGGCTGCAGAAGGGTGCTGTCAAGTGAGGGGTCCTGTAATAAAAAGTTTTATTCATGGCAAATTCATCTCTGTCTGAATTTTATTTTTGGAAGTCATAAATTTTCAATTTGACAAATGGCTCTAAATGACTTTTTACTTCCCAAAGCAGCAAGCCTATACATTGCATAGAGTCTCATTTTAGAAAATGGCTCTTAATTTTTGTTTCCTGAGCAAAATAAGAATCTGGAGTATCTTTCCCGTGCCAAAATGTCTTCAACACTTTTGTGTCTTGATCAGATTTATAGATAAGTCTAGGGGGTATTATTTTTTTTCTTTCATCCTTTTACTCTAAAGTAAATATGATCAAACGAATGTCTTAAATTAATTTATAAAACTTGCCCTGGTGACAAGAATAGTTAAGTTCTAGCATCATTGAGCCCAAACTCCTGAAACATTGAATTCATGGAAATCATACCATGAATGTTGATATATTATAGTTTCAACATGAGTATATGGCAGCTCTATGGTGCTTGAAACACAAGGGAAAAAACATACTTTGTATGACACTCTGAAAGTAGCAAATGATCTTTTGTGTACAGCACTGAAGAGGAAAAAAATAGCTTACCTCATTTTGTTGTGTAAAATCATGCCTTTTAAAACAGTAAGAGCTTGAAATAGTTAAAAACATTCACAAGTCATATTTGTGAATTGTTCACCAATAATAATTATAGGTAAAGCATTATAGAGTAAATATGGATGTCAATAAACAATTAAGAAAATAAGTAAAGTTCACCTACTTTTGAGATATTACTTGATCGACTTGCAGATCGTCCTGGGGATTTTTCATTCTGAAAAATAAAATTATAGTCATTGAGTAAACGTATGGCAATAGTCTTCACCCTGAGAAAAAGAAAAGCATAGCAAAGGCAGACATGAAAATACTTTTGGCGTTGTTCTGATAGACGTTCGAACTGCTTATATAGAATGGTTTGTTTCTTACTGAATTGTGTGTCTCTAAAATGTATCAGTGTCCCTTTTGAAAATGTTTCAATTAACACCAGGGTATATATTAGTTTAGAAGTATTTATTTCCAGAAAATGCTTATTTCTTTAGAAAAAATGAATGCAGTTCTTTTGAAATAAAATTAGACAGTAGAAATTCAGTCCATTATTTTCCCTTTTGCTTTTGCTACCAGGAAATTCTGAGTAAATTCTGGTTCTCAGTGTCAGTAAATATTGCATACATCTTACTCCTTCTTCTAATATGTACTTTATTTTTTAAAATATATTTTATTGATTTTTTACAGAGAGGAAGGGAGAGGGCTAGAGAGCTAGAAACATCGATGAGAGAGAAACATCCACCAGCTGCCTCCTGCACACCCCCTACTGGGGATGTCTGCAACCAATGTACATGCCCTTGACTGGAATCGAACCTGGGATCTTTCAGTCCGCAGATGATGCTCTAAACACTGAGCCAAACTGGTTTCGGCTCTAATATGTACTTTATTGGTTCTCCTGTTGTTTTCCTTTTGACATAAAATAATCTATAGGTTTTTTTTAACATAAAATATTTAATTGTTTAAATTAAATATACTTTAAAAATTATTTTAAAATTTAAAATGTAAAGTTAAGTTAAAAACTAATAACCCCAATGTTTGCCTCTTAAAGATTTTCTAATTTCGTAGATAAGAAGCATAAAAAAGGTTTTGAATAAATAACTTAAAAAAGTCATACAATTTTAAAGGAGGAAGGAACCTTAAAGAGTGTCAACCCTTCCTTGGAAGCCCAGAAATATTCTGTTCCTGCCCGTCATGGAATTTATGCCAGTGAAACCTTCTGACTTGTCCATCCTAATGCTTTCCATTCTGCCAACTATCAGCTGGTGGATAAGTGAACTGGCACTGAACATGTAGCAAGAGATCACAGTGCTTTCCTTCTGCCCAGAAAATGTGGGAGGAACTTGTTCTGGAAATGAGAAGTTGTGAAAGATCTGAATTAACCTTGCCACTGAAATACTTCAGGAGGCTCTTAAATAGAAATTTCTGAGCATCTGGACTCAGCACAAAAGTGGACTTGAGCAGACCCCTTGACAGAGGTCACTTCTGGGAACTAAGTTGTTGTAACAACCTGTGGATCTGAAACCGCCCCGTGATGATGGCTTGAGACAGTTTCAGAAACACGTTGATGACAGGATATGGCAACCGTGTTGTGGTGGAAACACGGTAGCTACATTCACCGCAGACTGTCACGGTGTCAGACACAGGTTTGCAGATAGATATTCCCGCTGAACAGTACTTTTTCCTTTACATGCAACATCCATCTCCTGCAGCCACTCATGTCACTGTGGAGCATGTTATTACAGAGCGAGATGAGTCCCAACGATACGATTAGTTACACCTCATAACAGCCCCGTGATCCAGGGGGAGATTAATGTATCTACTACCCGCAGACATTTTTCCTTGATTAGCTTCCCGTGGTGATGGAGAGAGGTACTTTTCAACTGACATCTCAACTCCTCTTCTAGAGACTAGGAAACAAAAGCAATCCATCTTTCCTTCTCAGTGAAATTCAGAATTTTGACACAATGGAACAGAGGTAAATAGGCCACACAATATTAATAGGCCCTGGGAACAGTTTCGTTGTCCTGTTTTGCTATGTTTTCTATATTAAAATGGTATTTGAGGACGTGGTCGAGGAACTAGAATTGAAAGGTGCCTCAGCTGGAACTAAGAAGTGCTATAGGAAATGTAATTTGGCATCAGGTGACCTAATTTTTCACAATAAATAGGACTTTGTGGTGTTGTTTTCAGATAGAACAAGGAGGGTAAGGCTCCCTCCACAACTGTGAGTGAGTTCAGCACAGGGTTATAATTAGGAGATAATTCCACACTCTTCCCCAGCACCAACCAATCTAATGGGGAGGAAACATCTGCTTGATTATTTAGTACTTCAAGGGATCTTTTAATGTGAAATCTATTGGTTCCATTTTCTCCTAAAACTAGGTGAGGCATTGAAAGAAATGAATGAGCTCACGCAAAGGTTAAATTGGTTGCTATGGCTTCATTCCCTATTGTCCCTATTCCAGTAACCATATAGGAACAGAGGTGCACTGTTGCTATGTTGGTAGTGTCGAGAGTAAGAGACCGACTTGCAATTAGGCCTGTGGGAGCGTACTAGCTCTAGCAGGAATATACTATTTGACATTTGAGGACTTAAATTTCCCTCACTATGAAGCAGAGACTGTGGTACACATCAAGCAAGTTATAACTGAAAACATTTTATAGATTGCAAGATTATAATATTCCCATTGTTAATTACAGGGAGAGAAAACACCAGAAGAGCTCCCTCACATTTCATGATGGCCCGGCCAGTGTGGCCCATGGTTGAGTGTTGACCTATGAACCAGGAGGTCACAGTTCAATTCCGGTCAGGGCACATGCCCAGGTTGCAGGCCCAATCCTCAGTATGGGGCATGCAGAAGGTAATTGATCAATGATTTTTCTCTCATCATTGATGTTTCTATCTTTTTCCCTTCCTCTCTAAAATCAATAAAAATTATATTTTTAAAAAATGTCATGATGATCATCACGAATTATGAGACTCATAATTTTCACATAAACACTTGAGTTCCTCAGTCCTGCAATTCTGCCTCTATTGTGGAATAGATTTCAGTATATAAAATTTAAGAACAGAAAATCAAATTTTCCTCTACCCAAGGGAGTTAAAGAGGTTTGGTTTGCCTTGCCTTTGAAGCAAAGAGCCAGAAGCACTTTATCTCTTGGAAAACTTCCAAAGCAATGTGTCCAATTTTCCATTAATTAATTGGGTGGCTTGTGCCATTACTATTGCAATGACATATTCTTCTTTGTAGATTAGTCAAATATGGTTGTCATACCTCATTATGATCAGTTTAAATTCTTTACCTTAGATTAAGCAGAAGCTGTCTCCGATTCTGTCTGCACTTACTGGTACCCAAATGATAGTGACCTTGTAGGTCAATAAAAGTTGGAACCAAAAAGTTCTAACAAGTCTGCATGGAAAGTCTGAGGCTAGCAGATCATTTATAGTAGGCAGTCAGAGAGACTTGGTTTTATAATTGCTTTCTAATATTTATAAGATGTTTCAGAATTTGGTTTGATATGATTTTATCTGAAAGTGTCAGTTTTTTTGTGATTATTATTGATAATATAAGATACTTTTAAAGTTTCATCTCAATTAAGCATGGTTGAATTTTTATTAACAGCAAGAAATACAATGATTACCAAATAAAAAAATGGTTTTAATATATTTCAAATGTCATGATCTAAGGAAAGTGGGATAGTCCCTTTAAAAGGAAATGGTTTGTGTTAAAGAAGACACGGTATGACTGGCTTTGTAACTACATAGGAATACTCTATATTTTATAGCATTGAACAGAAGCGGTAAGGAAGCTTGTAGCAGGTTTTATATGTAAACTGAAGGGAAAAACTAAATATTCCTGAGTGAAGAAAATTGAATAAGACAGTCTCACACAGAGCACTGATATGATGCTATTCTGCAGAATATTCCACTTTTCTCCCCTACCCCACTCCCAGACTAAAAGTCAAGAGTATTGGGGGGGGGGGGGGGAAGAGTGCTCATTTGGAGGGTGACCTGAAGAATTCTATAAGTAGAAAATAGACTATTTTTCCTAGAGTAACTAAAGCTTATAATAGAAGAAAGTCTCTGAAAACAATGAAACATAAACAAAAAAAATAAATAAACAAGAGCATAGCAAAAATGACTAATGCAATAAAAACTTAACTAATAGATATATAAAAATTCCATGTCCATTAATTGAAACACTCTTTTTAATGTCTATAAAGCATTTAAGAATTATTTGACCTCAAATAATACCTTAACAAAATATTTAAGTAGGGATTTTATAAGGCACTTCTGTAGATATTGAGCAAATAAAATCAGAAATACAGATTGAAATATGACTAATTTTGTTGCTAACCCTCACCTGAGGGTATTTTTTCATTGATTTTTAGAGAGAGAAGAGATTGGTTGCCTTCCACAGGTACTCCAACCAGCCAGGGATTGAACCTGCAACCATTATACCTGCCCTTGACCTGGAATCAAACCCACAACTCTCTGGTGAATAAGCCTATGCTCTAACCACTGAGCATGCTGGCCAGGGTAAATGTGACTAATACGACTAGTTACCTGAAAATTAATTACCAAATTTTTAGATAATGCTTCTTCTAAAGAAATGAATATTCTCTGGGAAATGATAGCCAGAAACTCTAGAAAAGAGCATACTATAAGACCTTTGGAACACCGCAAAAGCTGTATCCAGATAAGCATTTATTTTATTTAGTTATTTAAAATATATTTTTATTGATTTCAGAAAGGAAGGGAAGGAGAGGAGAAAGAGAGAGAAACATCAATGATGAGAGAGAATCATCACTCCCTACTGGGGATCCAGCCTGCAACTCGGGCATTTGCCCTTGACTGGAATAAAACCCAGAACCCTTCAGAATGCAGGCCAAAGCTCTATCCACTGAGCCAAACTGGCCATTGCCAGATAAGCATTTATAGCTGTAAATGGCTTTGTTATTAAAGAATACAGTTCAAAACAATATAGTGAAAGTTATAAAATATAAAAGCTAAAACTCATTAAGTGAATATAAATAGGAAGGATAAAGAAATATTTTCCATAGCAAATCTTTTTAATATAATTACAGAATAGATGTACATACTATAAGGTTTGCTAAGGAAAAGAGAGAGCAATATTATATAAGAAATGAGAAAAGATACATAACCGAAGACACAAAAGGGATCAGAAAAACAGATTATAAAAGCTACATGTAGTGCTATTGCAACAA